ACGCACGCACGCACGCACGCACGCACGCACGCACGCACGCACGCACGATGTTTTCCAGTAAAGCATCTTAGAAAAGGAAGGAGATGCACAACATTTGGGGAAGTTGACACCACTCAGTCCCGCTGAGCCTGCTGGGATGTGCACCCCGCAGTGAGCTCAGCAGGGAGAGGCTCTAATGGTACCCAGAGCCTGGTGCAGTCGGGATGAAGCAGATTGAGACTTCCCGATGGCTGATTAAACTGAGGGACAATTATACAACATGCTGCAGTTTTTTTAAAAAAAACCTTGGCTACTATGCTTTGTCTTCAAAGACACCTCTGTCCAGGGTGCTCCCATTCACTCGACACCGGAGTACAGTGATTTGGTGACTGTTAGACAAACATTGTAGAGGGGACTCCACTGGAGTGTTGCCTTCTGGTACTATGCCAAGCCTGCTGCACCATCCCTGGGATGCAGCACGCGGCTTCGGGGTGCCCTGTCCATGATTGCTCCATGTGCTCTTCAGCAACTGTGGACTCACGATGTGTTTCCTGTGTAAGACTCTGAGAATCAAAGTTCCTCACGATGTCTCCTCCCCCACCACCCAAGGAACAAGAATTCACTCTCCTGATTCCCATGAATGAAACTAAGGAGAATATTATTTCTTTCTGGTCTTTCTTCTAGATCCTCTGCTTGTTTCAACTCTGAAAATTGCTCTTTTTTGAGGCACTGTTTTATTATTTATTCATACTACTGAAATATCCTCTTGCTGGCTGTTTTTGTTGTCTTATAATTTAATTTTAGAGTGTTTTGTATATTTAATTTTAAGACGGTGTAAAGGATTTTCAATTCCAAAGTGTCTGTTTCTGCCTCCTTGTCTACCTGCCTGTCTGTGTTCTTCTGCGCGCATGTGTGTGTGCATGCATGCGGGCACGCGCACACACACACACACACATTTTATGGAGGAAACTGAACTTGCTTTTAGTCTGGTCGAGTCATATGGCATTCTGTGTCTCTCCATATTTACTCACCCACTTTGTAAGCATGCCTTCCCTCCTTTCTCTGGAATGCTGTGACCATTTTCATTTCCTTTGAGAAGGACAGTCTTTTTGCCCTTGTTTGACTCCAGGGGGAAATGGGGTTTCACATGGTATAGGACGGGATAATAATATCTTGGCTAATAAAGGTAGGAGCCACGCTCCGAGTCTTTCAGGTAGAGGTGGTCGAAGGGCACAGCAAGTCTGTGAAGAGCCTCGGGCTGTGTTTGGTCTGTGGGTGGGAAGGAAAGGGGCACACACACACACACACACACACACTCCATTTAGAAATGTTCAGTCCACTTTGGTATTGGGTTTAGTTTTTATAAGTACTATCACACCAATACAGATGTTTTTTTCTTTTCCCCCCAGGTCCAACAGGAACAGTTAAAGATGTGTAAGTACATTTTGGTATTATGACCTCTGTCTCCAGAAAAGCTGTTTTTCATGGTTCTGACCTTTAGGAATCTAGGTGTGGCTGACAAGACACAGGATACTTTCTGTGCTGTACACCTGTAAATGTTGCCATTTGATTGACAGAAGGTACTCTCTGAAGGATGGTACCATTTGCAACTTTTTGTGTTAGCTCTTCAGTTACCCTGGCATGCTAGCTTAGAATGTTAGTCAGAATCTTTCTTTCCACCCCAACCTGTGCAGAGACTTGAGTTAGCAACAGTCACCTGGGATCCTGCTGTGCCTCAGAGCTATCCAGGGAGGCAGCTGGAGTTTACTTAAGTGAACACTCAAGTGGTTTCAGTGGCAATAGCTAGGTATCCCTAGACACTCAGGGGAATGGTGCAACCATTTTCTGCAGCACGAGGGGGGGGGTCTTCCTGAAGGTCAACCCTCAGACCCTTCTGTTGATACTTCGAGCTTTTTGGAGGTAATTAGGGTTCATGGGGTCATGATGGCAGAGCCCCCGTGATGACATTAGCGGATTCCTAAGAAGGGGAAGAGAGACCAACCAAGTGTGTTTGCTTGTGTCTCCATGTCCTCTGTGGGCCCACAGCAGATGCTGAGCGTGTGCCGCATTAGTCTTCACAGCCTCCAGAACCACGACCCAAACATACCCTTTGCAGGTTATCTGGTCTCAGGTGTTTTGTTATAGTCCATGGAAAGTGGATCAAGGCAGCCTTCCATATAACCCGTGTTGAACTGAACTCTAGGCTGAGGACTTCCTAATCAGGCATCGCAACAGGAGGTTTCCTATGTTCAGGAATGTCGTTCATGGCTCTATGACATTCCACTGCATTCTCTCTTGTCATCTAGATCTAACAAGGCCTGTATATGAGCCCACGGTCTCTGGTCACTGAGCTGTGGTAGTTTGATTTCTGTTGCTGTGATAAAATACCCTGACAAAACAATGTACGGGGGAAAGGAAAGACAAGGCCGCTGGCGGGGAAAGCAGGCGGCTGGAACAGGAACCTGCCTGATCTCATTACTTCAGCACTCAGGAAGCAGAGAGAACAGGAAGTGAGGGGGCGGGCGCAACCCAGAGGCGAGCACTTCCTCCAGCGAGGCAACACCTCCTAAAAGATCGGTAACCTTCCCAAACAGCATCACCAGTTAGGGACCACATGTGCAAACATGTGGACCTGTAGGGGACACTTCACACTCAAATTGTAACCATGGAGGTTGGGATTAACCCTTCCTGTTCCCCGTTAGTTAGATGCTGGGGCCACACCGTGTCGAGAGAGCATGAGAGGATTTGGCACTTATTTGGTGAGGCTTTCTGGGGAGAATGAGGGTTGCACCCAAAGTTGTCCACTTAGATTGGGTGGGAGATGGGCATGCCTTTTGTTTGTATCATGGTGGTTAATGGGTTAGTGGGAGGGAACCGCCTTCACAAGGACCGGCCTGGACCACACAGGTAAGGGCAGGTTTTTGTACTGCTTGTGTGGATATCAGGCTGAAGGGGGAAGGGGAGGATCTGAAAGCTGTCAGTACTCCAATATTAAAAATAGAATCAGACTTTTTTTTTTAAGTCACAAAGAAGAATTCAGAGAAGAGTAGAGTGTTGTAAAGTTTTCCGGGAATTAAATAGCCATTTCAAGTGACAGTTTTGGGCACAAAAGCAGTAATCGCTTGCTTCAAATTCCTGGTGTAGCTCTTGAGTTTCCAGTGGTTTCTGGAATGGCTCTGAACACACTTCTGCCCTTGTAAACTATGTATTAAACGAAGTGGCTATCTTAAGTGGAGTTTATTATTATAAAGTAAAACACAATAAACTGAAAACTGTTGAGGATGCTGGATGTCCTGCAGTATCAGATATCTAGCCAAATGTAGTTCTTTAGAAAAAAGTTTTTATTATGTTAATTTAATTGTGTGTGTGTGTTTGCGCGTACACATGTGTGCCTTGAGAATCAAACTCAGGTCATCAGGTTTAGCTATAAGCACCTTTACCCACTGAGCCATCTCGCTGACCCAAGATTTGACTCCTCAGGTAAAAAATAAGTAAGCACTTCCATCTCATGAGTGAACTAATTTCTTTCATCTTTAACATGTGGAGAGGTTCGATGAACTTTAAAAATAAATTTCTTCAAAGTTTATTATTAGTAAACGTTTGTATACCTGTTTTATGTACAAATATACCTGGAGTCATGTGACAAGCTCTTAGGCATAAAGGAGTGTCCAATGGAAACTACAAGTCTGGCTTTGGGGGAGGCATCGAGTTCTTATATCTTTTCCTGATTGCCTTTTGCTGTGTACAATAAAAAGTACTTCAGGAGGCAATGGCTACTGGTATAAGGGCTCTTCCTGAAAATAGGTGGGATGTGTGTTGGGCTGGAGACTCATGGGGGAGCAGAGTTCGTGCAGAGAAGAGAGAAGGAAGGCGGTGAGCCTGTGTGGAGGGAGGGAAGAGCGTGAGGGGAGGGCACAGGGTTACAGAGCCTGGCCATCTCCTGGAACCCCGTCCTGGGTGGGAGGGGTGTAAGATGGGGCCAGTGTGTGAGGGGGCTTTGCTTCTAGGCCAGGAGTTAGGCTTCCTTTATGGATGTTTCAGTATTAAGTTAGAGCTAAGATTACTATTTTTTCTTTTAAGAGAAAGAAGTCAGCTCTGATCTGACCACCAGAAGCAGTGGAACAGTTAAACACAGTTTTTGTTAGCATTCTGCCTAATTGTGGTCGTGTGTGGCTTTTGATATTGAAGCTGGAGGCTGCCTATTCTGAGGGAGAGAGTAATTGATAGAACTAGACCTTAAAACAGGTTTTAGGGATTCAAACACAAACCTCCGGAATGTGACAGCTTGGGTGCAGGGCATCTAGAGAGTTAATCTCCCTGAAGCAGACCTGCGTATGGACGGAAGCTCTATACCGGCTCCGTGCCTCCAGAAAGCATGACACAGTAACGGAGAACACGGGGCCGATTCACACAGTCTTTGCAAAGATCAAACTTTTTTTCTTTTAATTTCAGTGAATTTTATGAGCTTCTTGGCACCAGCAGGTTGTGTAGGGGTATTTTGGTTGGCCGTGGCGAATCAAACTTTGTTTATTTTGACCCAAACAAACAAAAGAATCCTTAGGCAGTGGTGGTGGAATGTCCCCAGCCGTTTAGCTCGTCACAGCTGGATACAGGTAGTCAGACCCAGAAAGCAGCTCTCCCCAGCTCGCCTCTTGCAGACCGCTTTTCCAGGCCATGGTGGAGGTGGCCACTCGGTGCCTATGAGGTTAGCCGCTGTGAGAACAGTACGCTTTCCTTTGGTTTCCTCAGAAACTCCCAGCAAGGCCCCAGGACTTGAGGACGCTTTGCGATGGTGGTGGTGGTGGTGGTGGTGGGGAAGAGAGCAGGAGAATGTGGAATTCTCATTGGCCAGGGCCAGGTCATGTGCTTGATTGATGAACCAATCATATAGCTTCATCTAACCATCTGGCCAAGCCTGGGTGCCTGGTGGTTTCCCAAATGAAATGTGGTGTGGGAAAGGGTTGGGGGGAAGGGCAGTTTTAAAGGTTAGGGTCAACTTCATCCCAATATCTGTCCCTTTTCATATTTTGAAAACATTGATTAAAGCAGGGCAATGGTAAAACGCATCTTTAATCTCAGCACTCTGGAGGAGGCAGGAGAATCTCTGAGTTCGAGGCTATCTTGGTCTACAGAGTGAGTTCTAGGACAGCCAGGGTCACGTAGAGAACTTTGTCTTGAAATACAAAACAACTGTGTGTGTGTGTGTGTGTGTGTGTGTATGTATCTGTATGTATATTTACACACACATAGTGTGTGCTTATTACTGTACATATTATAATGTTTCCTTATGACACTTTCTTACATGTATATGATATATTTTCAAAATATCCATTTCCTGTTCCCTGTGTAAGAATCTAAGAATTTTGATTTTTTATTTATTTATTTATTTGCTTTTTTGAGACAGAGTTTCTCTGTATATTCTGTCCTGGAACTCACTCTGTAGACCAGGCTGCCTTGAACTCTGAAATCTGCCTGCCTCTGCCTCCCAAGTGCTGGGATTAAAGGCATGCGCCACCACTGCCCGGCAAGAATTTTGATTTTTAAAGATTAAGCATTATTTGTGAGAATATGAATAGTGAGAATATGAATATGTTTCAGAGAAGACAGTATTAAATAAGTTAACACAAATTTAATGTTTGTCTTTGAATACAAAGCAAGAAAAAATCATAGCCTTCAGGTTTAAACAAGATAATTCAAATACTTCTTTCACTTAAAACTTGGAGTGACATGTTATTAAGATCCTTTTTTTGACAAAGCTATTTTATTGCCATAAAAGGTAATGAATGGAGAGAAAAATATCCAGAAAAACGCATTGACAAGCAACCTTATAAAAAGAAATTGTGAATATCCAATCTTGATTTGTGTTTTGTGCCCGATGTGTGTAACTTATTAATACATATATGTGTGTGTGTATATACCTATATATGTATATGTGTGTGTGTTGCACACATGTGAGTGTACATACACCTGTGTTTACACAGATGTGAGAGCAAGATCTCAGGTGTCCTCTATTGCTGTGTGCTTTCTGCTTAGAGACAGGGTCTGTCACTGTTGTGTTAGGCTGGCCGGCCTGCAAGCTCTCAGGATCTGCCTGTGCCTACTTGTTAGTGCTGGAGGCTCAGAGCCATGTCTAGGTTTTTACATGGGTGCTGGGGGTTCAAACTCTGGTTCTCGTGCTTGAAGATTGACATCTTAATGTCAATCCCTGGTTTCTTTACTTGTACCCATGGACAAGTACACCCATACCCATGAACACACATACACACACACACACACACATATACATATATAGGTATATACACACACACATACATGTATTAATAAGTTCTGTCTATAAGTTCTGTCACTATACAGAACCCTGAGTAATGCATTCTATGTTCTGCAATATCAAATATCAGCCAAGATTAAATTTATTACGGAAAAATGTAAAACCA